ATTCTTACAATCTCCAATCAATTAAAAAGAAATTAAATTTCTTGGTATTGATGTACGGTTTTCGCTTTTAAAAATGAAAAGCTCTTCTGTGCATGGTTATAACAATATCGTTAATATGATACCATGCTAAGAAATTAGTTTTTATTTTTAAGTGAAAAAATGAAGACATCAAATCTATTCATAAATGAATAAATATTTAAATTTATTGTTAAATACTTAAGGAATTTCAATGAAATACATTGCTGTAAAATCGTTGATTAAAATCATCCACGGAATCACACTCTTAAGAATCAAACATTTTATTATGAAACGTGATATTTTTATTATAAAATAATAATGGTCTCATTCACCTTGTTTAAAATAAAATTTTTGCCAGAGGTGCCTTGTTTATTTGTTGTGTTTTTATTTGAGTTACATTGTTTAAGTGAAATGCTTTAAAAGAGCTCATTTATTCATTGTTTACGCATGAATTAGTTTCAGGAACGTTTATTAATTATTTATTTTTAAAATGTAATCATTTACTGGTACAAAATAGAACTGTTCAACGGCATCTAGCAAAATAATTTATATTAAATATTTTTTCGGCCTGCAATTCCTTAAATGTTATTTTTTATTTGTAAGTTTTATAAAAAAATTGCTAGAGACAAAGAAATATCTAACAAAAAGTGCCTAATCCTACCGATCGAAATTTATGTTTTTCCATGTCATTGCGTCAATTTTTCTTTAAGTTTAGTTATTATTAGTTATGATTTGAAAAAAAAAGTAGAAAGTGTGTATTTGTAATATCAATACTTCCGTAATATTTTATTGCTTTATTTATTTTGGTTTTTAAGGCAAAAAAATAAACATTATTTTTCCGCCATATTCGTAGCGCGATATCTCCCTTTTTTACTCAACGTGTATATAACAAACTAGCCTTTATTTACAACAAAGGCAATATTAATAATGTGTTTTTAGGTATTCCTCCTAAGTTCATACTTTTGTTAATAGAGTTAACTATTTTTTTTTTCGAAAAATACGGGCATCCAGCAAAAATCAGGAAACAATCTAACGGCGTGCGTTGAGGTATTAAAAATACACCGGAAATCACGACTTCGTAAAAATTTGAAATAAATTTTAAATGTTTTTTTTTGACAAAGATTAAGCAATCTGCAGGTATTTATTTTAAAACAAATTATTTTTCAAAAAACGATTTTCATAAGTAACTTACTAATTTAACTAATTAACTAATTTTCTTCGTTTGAGCAGTATCATGCAGAATATATCAAAGAGCTGGTTTTTGTGATAACTTCAACACACACTGTGGGAAAACCAAGTGGGACAATTTTGTTTAAAATTAAAAATTAATAAAACCGAAGATTTGGAATACATAAAATATTATAGCAAACAGTGTGTAAACCAAATTATCCTTTTCTGTTTTCCCGCAGGGTGTGTTAAAGCTATCATAAAATAGCATTTTGATTTACTCCGTACGAAACTACTCAAAACAGAGAAAATTAATAACTACAAAACATGAACTAAAATAAATGAATTTACTAACTGCTTAAAAATTCGGCAGAGTTTCAACTTATACTGGCTGCTACTTTTTGTTTCTTTTCTTTTTTTTATATCTGAGCCGTCATTTTTGCAGAAATGATTCAACAAATTTCATCATAAAGAAAATTGAAAAATTTTCTATAGTAGTTCAAAATTTACTAAAACTGTCAAATGAGACTGCATTATGTAAGTAATCTGAGCAATTTAGGATCCCACTCATCTGACTTGGACTCTGACTATACTATAATTCACAAAACAAAATAAAATTCCTCATTCAAATAAAATTGTGAGTAATATATATATATATATATATATATATATATATATATATATATATATATATATATATATATATATATATATATATATATATATATATATATATATATATATATATATATATATATATATATATATATATATATATATATATATATTACATTTTACGAAGAACATTTTAAAAACTATTTACTCTAACAAAATATCACTTTTTACTTAAAGTAAAAGTTGCACACACCAAAATGGATCCAATTTTTCCATTGGGTGTTCGAACTGTTCATTCTAAACACTTTATATCCGATGAATCTTATTTCTTCAAGGAATTTTACAATCCGATGACGTAACTCTTTCTTGCACCGGTGTCAAATAGGTGCACATAGGTAAATTCTAATGGCCTGAGATCGGACGATATCGCAGGGCAATCCAATACTTTTCAGGGTGTTCCGTTTAAAAAAAATGCACTTTTTACCATTTTTGTATCTTTTACGCAAATCAATAGTTTTCTTCACCAACCCTGTATAATTTAGAACTGTATTAAGAAATTATGTTCGATGCCTCCTTAAACGATGGCCAAAACTTAAACTTTCTACTAGTGTCTTGGTAATAAAAATTTAAATGAAGGTATGTTTTGGTCGGCAAATTGAATAAAATAATTATTTTCTCCAAAATCGCTGAAGATATATAGTATAGGAACGTATTATTTAAAAACAATTATAAAATATTAGCGGATCAGAAAATAGAATAATATACATGGTGTCCTATTTCAAATTTCAATGTTGATACTACTTTTTAGAAAAAACGACAACAGCGCTGTGGCGTTACTACCTGTAGTAACGCTACTGTGGCGTTACTACCTGTAGTAAGGCTACTGCGGCGTTACTACCTGTAGTAACGCTACTGTGGCATTACTACCATTTACTAAACTCGCGTTTCAATTGTATGTTAATTAGTGGGCCCCTGATTTAGGAAGGATTCGAGAAGTGCGTCGAACATTGAATAGAAGAATGTGGGAAGCTGATGACATGCTAGAAAACAGTGTAGAGCTCTTTTTATCCCTTATTATTTCTTTAGACTCCAACGACTATAGTTCTGGTAAGTCTGACTACTCGCAACTTGTACTGTAAAGAATAGATATTTTAAAAATAATAATATTTATTTCAATTCATCTATTTACATATTATTCTTACATCTATATAAGGCTTTATTTACTAGATCTTAAAATAATTAATCAATAAATCATCTGCCCATCTTTATGATTATAATTATGTATAATTATAATTATGCATAATTATAATTATTTTTTTGTACGCAAATTAGTATGTGACTAATTTAGAAACGATTCGAAATGTGAAAAATTGAAATACGGAATAAAATTTTTAAATTCACGATATAAAGTTTAAATTGTGCACCCTGTTTAATGATGCCAGTCATTGCAATTTCAGAGTTCATTTCTCTCTGGCATTAAGAAACGTAATTTAACCCTTTTTGTTCGTCCTTAAAACTATGAAATTGTGACCAAATATCTTTTCAACTTTTTCTTGAACACCTTTTTCATTTTTCAAAAAAACTTTCACAGGCTACACTACTATTTATAAATATTCAGGATTCCTTCCGCGTCGGTTGTTAATGAATCGAACTTGCTGACGTTTCGCCACTCATCCTGTTGGCTTCTGCAGAGTTTAACTGAAACTCGCTTGCATTCTCTGTACCTGCTTATGTATTGCTTGCGGGAGCCAGAGCTTTAGGAGGGGGACATGAAAATTGTCTTGGATGATTGATACCCATATTAGCGAAAGGCAAAGACTTGAGTCGCAGTTAACATTGTTTAGTTGCTTATGAATTTCTATAGACTACATGCAATAATTTTAGTTTTATCGAATAAAATTTAGCTTCGTGATTGTTTTCGGTAACAGCAGATGAGTATATTTGTCGTAGTCTTAAGGTTCTCTCATGTTCTTGGAACCTAGTTGATATTTTTCGTCCAGTTTCTGCAATGTATTATTTGTATTATTGTATCATCAGGGACAGCTATAGGTTCTCCATTATCACCAGTCATCGCCAATATATTTATGGAAGCCTTTGAGAAGAAAGCTCTCGACTCCTTCCATCTAAAACCAAAATCATGGAAACGCCTCGTTGATGACACTTTTTCTTAGCCATTTAGACTCTATACACCCTAACATACGTTTTACCATTGAATTGGAAACTATTAATATTCTCTCATTCTTAGATAATCTTATCAATTGAAAATTAGACCTAACATTGAGTCATTATGTTTACAGAAAACCTACGCACACAGACCCATCTTAATGCATTGTCATTGGGACCCAACAATCATCGGTTATCAACTCTCTTGTTTACAGAGCCATAAAACTATCTTAACCCGAGTCGCTGAAAACATTAGAAATATTAAGCGTTCCATCAAAAAATACACTTTACCACAACCTTCCAAAGAGAGTGAGCCTGAAAGCAACCTCATATTTGCCACTTTTGTCCTTTCTAAAGTTCTTAAGAAATATAACCTCAAAACCAAATTTACCACTTGTCCAATAAGTTCTCAATATCTTCGATCGGTCAAAGACAAATTTCCATTTGAGATACCAGGAGTTTTCAGCATTCCATGCATATGCTGCAAAGAATACATTGGAAAGACCGGACTAAAAATATCAACTACGCTCAAAGAATATGTAAGAGCCCTAAGACTAGGACCAATAAACTCATCAACAGTTGCCGAAAACAATCACGAAACCGGATATCAAATTTTATTCGATAAAACTAAAATAATTGCATATAATCAATTCTTCTACCAAAGAAAAATTCGAGAATCTATAGAAATCTAAAAGTAACAATCATACCCTGACTCGGGTCTTTACCTTTCACGAATATGGGAATCCGTCATCCTAGATAGATATCATTTCGCTCCGCCCCCTCAGACAATATGTAGCAGGTACAGAGTAAAATGCGAGCCATTTTTAGTTAAGCTCTGAAGAAGCCCACAGAATGATTGGCGAAATGTCAGCAAGTTCGATTCTTCAAAAACCGTCGAAGAAGGAATCCAGGAAGATTTGTAAATAGTAAAACCTTTTTGAGTTCACATTTAAAAAACGATTTCAAATACCCCACTGTGCGGCACGGAAAACATTTTATTAGGATAATCGCCGCGCATTAAAAATGGCAGAACTTACCTTGTCGCTCATCAGATGGGTGTGCAACGGCCGCGATACAGACTCCGACGTTTCTTCTCTACGTAGCATGCCATCGTATTGGGCGTGTTTTTTTCGCTTCTTGTACTTCATCCACAGTATCCTAATTCCAAAAACGGTGAAAAGTAAGACGATCAAGGGTGCGAGGGTCGCCAAACAAGCCAGGATCAAAGTCTGGATATCGCTAAACACTAAAAAATATTAATGGATTACGAAGCTGCGAGAATCGTACATTTAACAAAATACCAGCATACAGAAAATGCGGTCACATATTTGAGCTAGGGCACTGTACAAGGTGTCTCACATGAGCTGACCAATATAGATTTTTCAATGTTATAGAAAGACCACCAAAAATATAGGTTTAGTTAACTTGAGCAAATTATTAATGATTAAGTTAAAATTTCTGAAAAACAAGTCGTAATACCTGAAAAATAAGTCATATTTGAACGTTGCACATAACATATAGGGTGCTAGTTTGGGCATATTATTTAGAAAAATCGAATCTTATTATTTTTGTACACCGAGTTCTAGTTGAAACATGATCGAAATCTGAAAGATTTTTCAATTTTTCATAGAAAAATCATCCAACTGGATAGGTATTTCATTTATTTGCATTTAAAAAGTTCAAGGTACTTTTTCTTAATACTTACAGATGAAGAGGTACGAGGAACAATAAAATAATAACAATATTTAACAATACGAATTATTTTGATAATAGTAATAAAAAAATTCAAATCAAAAGTTGGAATTTCACAATACTTCAATGTTTAGTACCTCCACTTTTTCAATTTTCCATTCCTTATGAATTGCGCAATATCCCTTATGAGAGGACGTCAGAAATTTTGACTGGTTTTTCAGAAATTCTAACTTATTTCTCAAACATTCCGCTTTGTTTCTCAGAAATTCTCACTTTAGTCAGAAATTCGTAACTGTTTCTCAGGAAGTCTGATCGGTTTCAAACAATTTCTGATTTTTGTTAGAAATTTTCACTTATTTCTCAAAAATTTGCTTTAATGTCGTGAAAACATGGTTTTTCAAATTACCAACGTCACCATTTCAATTATCTGTAAAAATGGAACATATTTATATCTATTAATTTAAAAATAGGGAATAAATAATTATATCTCATGAACGAAATAGCCAGGGTAAACCTAAAACGTGGTACGAAAACGAGCTCAAAATACAGAATAATAGGTTTAAAAAGTTATCATATGACTACTAATACTTGCTAATAACTATTTTTCTTTATTTGGACCTTAGAGAGGTATAGAAAGAACTTCTCTTCATTTTCGATTGCCTCCCTTTTCCGCTCACAATAATAATTCTCGAAATTTCGGCTTCCGTGAGATACGCAAGGTATTAAAAAAAGGATTTGACGAGAAACACATGCTTATAAACTCATTATTTTGTGTGGGCTTCGTAGAGAAAAAACTGTTCTTTAATTTCTATTCTCTTCGTTTTTTGCTCATTCTAATAACAGGCGAAGTTACGAATTAAAATTTATTTTTTTATGAAGACAAAACAGGTCAAGTGAAACAGGCAGACCAGTAAAAGTCCGGGACGAGAGGCAAAACTGTACAGGAATTCCAGGAAGAATTCGAGTTAATTCTAGGAAAATTGCCAGCTATTACAGAAGAATTCCACGGAATTTTTAAAAGAAACTTCCTTGTCAAAAATTCCGCCTTGTTTCTCAGAAATTCTCACTTTAGTCAGAAATTCGTACCTGTTTCTCAGGAAGTCTGACTGGTTTCAAATTTCAATTCAACTTTCACTTATTTATGAAAAATTTGCTTCAATATCGTGAAAGCATGGTTTTTCAAATTAACAACCATTTCAATTTTCTGTAAAAATGGAAGATATTTCTATTTATTAAATTAAAAATAGGGAATACAAAAAATAAATAATTAACAGTTGCAAAAATAAAAAAAAAATAAAACTGGTAGGAGGCAGGGTACACTATCTGAACTGCTTTTAATTGCCATTAATTTTACATAAAACTATGTCTCTATTGTCTCTATAAATGTCCTTGGCAAATAAACAGGGTGAAGAGAAAAATTAGCAGTTCTACAAGTTCACATAAAATAATATATTTTTATCATTTTGTTGAACTTATTATTCTGTACTTTGAGCTTGTTTCCACTCCACCCATGAGGTAGATTCGAGTTCTCGGTACATTTTTTTAATCGTTTCCCTTATATTCCCCTATTCCTATAGTGAAATATAATTTTTGAATCATTTACCTCGACGATTAGCATTTAGAGCACATTGTTGTTGTCCTGTGCACAGCAACTTTCACATACCTTATGGATATTATATATATATACATATATATATATATATATATATATATATATATATATATATATATATATATATATATATATATATATATATATATATATATATATATATTATATTATTAGTTTCTTTCAAAAATTATCTGTTGGATATTATTTGCAAATCTTCTGTTGTTGATAAAATGAGCTTACTGACGTTTTGCCAGTCATCCCGTAAATAGTTTTAGAAGGTCCTTGGAAAAATTCTAGTTGGATTTGGCGCTCGAGTGGTGACCAGCGGCATTAAAATTTTCTCGGTTTTTCTCCAGTCCCATTCAGTTGGCGGCGGCTCCTAAAACGGATATCTGCGGAAATAGTTTTTGAAATTATTGGTCAACTGAACACCATTAGGAAAAACCCGTTGTTGATGGGCAGGAATTACTTCGCTTTTTGAGAGATGTTTAAGGAAATACTAAGGGAATGGCGTTTGTTACCTATGCGTTTAGTCGTTGGGACAAAACTTAATAAATTGAAGAAGTACTCGCCGTATTCTATGATTTCTGATTGGCAAAATATTACATTCCCGGTTGGGAAAAAAATTAAATTTTAATAAGACATCATCATTAATAGATTTTATTACGTTAGGCTAGTTGGTGAATGGAGTCACGAAGTCATTTACAATAACATAACATCGCATTGTGTTTTTCATTCATTTGTGATCAGAAAGAACTTTAAATACAGATCTGAATGTGCTGAATACAGCAATATTGGCAACATATAATTGGGTAGAATTATGAAGAACATAGACGATTACTATCAGACAGATAGAACAAATCAGTTTTGTTTGAAGATTAAATGGTGTAAATATCCAGTACAGTTACGTAAGGTACCTTCTGGTACCATCGATCGTACTAGCTAAAAGAAATTAACAACGGCGCATAGAACATTATTACAATGGAGATCTAAAAAAACTAATAAAATTCTAATGCCAGCCCATATCTCTAAATGTCGTCGAGGTAAATGATTTTGCAGAAGCAGATCACTAAATAATTATATCTCATGAATAAAATAGTCAGGGTAAACCTAAAACGTGGTACGAAAACTAGCTCAAAATACAGAATAATAGGTTTAAAAAGTTATCATATGACTACTAATACTTGCTAATAACTATTTTTCTTTATTTGGACCTTAGAGAGGTAGAGAAAGAACTGCTCTTCATTTTCGATTGCCACCCTTTTCCGCTCACAATAATAATTCTCGAAATTCCCGCTTCCGTGAGATACGCAAGGTATTAAAAAAATAATTTGACGCGTAACAAATGCTTATAAACACATTATTTTGTTTGGGCTTCGTATAGAAAGAACTGTTCTTTAATTTCGATTCTTTTCATTTTTTGCTCATTCTAATAACAGTCAGGTCAAGTGAAACAGACAGACCAGCAAAAGTCCTGGACGAGAGGCAAAAGTCCACAGGAATTCCCTGAAAAATTCCAGTGAATTCTAGGAAAATTGACAGCAATTACAGAAAAACTCCACAGAATTTTTAAAAGAAACTTCCACAGGCTACTGTAATACTATTTACAAATCTTCTGGATTTCTCCTGGGTCGGTTGTGGATACAGCGAGCATGCTGACGATTCGCCAATCACCCTGTTGGCTTCTTGAGAGCCTTAAGTCAAACTCGCTCTGTGCCTGCTTATACTAGGTGTTTCAAATTCGACTCTCACCATTAGGATCTCCGAAACGAAAAGAGATACAGGGTGTCTTGTATTAGGGCAAAGTTGCGTATCGGTGAGTTCAATATGTACCGTTTTGAAATTGAAGTTTTTTAGTTACTTCCGAAAATATGGTGAAAAATATTAAACTTTCGGTTTTGGTTTTTATTTGTTTTATGTCTTCATTTTAAAACTTCGCGAAAATGAAAAGTGACATTACCAATGAAGAAAAACGAGATATTATTATTAAATTATTAGATAGATATTTTGCTGAATTTGCTTCGTTTCAAAAACTAAGACAAGATTATGCAGGCTGAATGGTACCGGAAACTGATAATATAATAATAATGCACACGCCAAGCTTACGCTGATGTAGTTGTTTCTTATCATACCAGTGCATCGAGACAGTTAAAAACAAGTGGTTTCAAATGCTACAAAAGTCATATCGCCCAAAAATTACATCCATTTGATCCCGAATGTAATCTGGACAGATAAAAGCACTTTTACAAATTGTGGAATATTCAGGGCAATTTCGAGAAATTCGACCGCAAGTTTGATTTAGTCTTAATGTAGGCCTATATATAAAGACAAAAGTTTAAGTCCTCATTTTTTTAACGGCATTCTGATAAGAGAGTGGTATTATCAGTTTTTGACGTCAACGCTTGAAAATTTTTTGGATGATTTACCTTTGATCCACTACAACAGCATGTGGTTTCAGAAAGATAGCGTCCCGCCTCAAAATACAACACAGGTATCGGATTATCTTTCGTCAAGGTTTGGTGTCAGAAGGATAGGAAATAATGGACCGGTGTGATGGCCAGCCAGGTCTCCAGATCTTCATTGGTTAATTGGTTCAACGACACAGTAATGCACTAAATATTAAAATATAATCGACAGATTTGAAAATTCATAGCTTACTATGGCATAAAAGTTTTTGTTCAATACTTCGAATTTGAGGGAACACAAATACAACAGTATAAAGTGTTCGTAATTGGAGTGTTTAACTAGAAAACCCATTTCTGAACTATCTATCTTCACTACCAATCTCGATATAGGACCCTTTTCATTTTTAGGCCCTTTTGAATATTGCCCATAACTTTTTCTACAGTTCTCCGTTTTCTCATAAATGAACACAACTTTTTTATATTAAAATTTAACCCTTTTGCATTATTTATATTGAAATATTTTAATGAGAGGTCGAT